GAAGCTGAGTAAGTTGGGCTTGGTTTGTGGGACTGTGGCGAGACTTTCTGGGAGCTTCACATCGGCCCATTGCTGAGTGACCACACAATACGCACACGTGCTCAAATACTGTTGCACAAGCCATTGTCTTACCATCGATGTATGAGCAGAAACCGTGTGAGGGGACCTAATAGCAATTACATTGAAGATTGTGAGATATTTTTAAATAAGCAACATCTCTCACTTGCCCGACCGTGACTGGAGCATGATGAATTCAGTTCTCACAAATACCCGTGTCTTTGACTTAACGGTTGTCGATCTCGTTAATAGGCTGACAAATAGTCGATTTCCACGTTGAGAAGATAGTCATCAGAAATAACTCGGAACCACCCATGGCGATCATCACAACAGGGGTTTTTTCTCATCCGACACAGCCTGGGCGACATCCCGAGTTGTGTCCGCTTGAATACAGCACACCTCTTGAGCCGAGCTCTTCTCTAACCGAATCGTGCCTCGTTCTCGTCTATCGAAAGTGTATTGATTAGTGGCGCCTTTTTGACCCTCTTTCGTCAACCGCAACTCACCTCATATAGCTACCCCAAGTTTCCACCATTACTACAACAAGGAGGAACGACGTTGCCAGATAGATGATGAGCATATCATTGTTCTCGCGCAATATCCTCCCGTGGCGGCATGGCATTCCTGGTCGGGCGAATGACGAAAAAGTGGTAATATCGACGTCAGTCTCGGTAGCTTCCAGCAAGTCCTCATCGCCTAGTATCACGACTGGTGCATCCATTTCGTCCCCCCATAGTTCCGCGGGCCGGTGTTTTGTGAGAGGTTGCAATTGCGGCAAGCCAACTTCTATCGGTGTCTGCGTAGAGAGCTTGCTTGACCGAGACTGGAGGACAGTCACCACCCCATTGACAGCGTCGGAGAAGACCTCTAACCGTTCCTTCAACACAACAGGCACAGGCGAGCATGTGGCCAAGTGAACAAGGCTGAGCGCAATGTAGAACCCGGACCACCTCATTTTGATATGCGACTAGCTGCGACAGCTATGTTTGGGCGAATCCAAGAATCCACGGGTTGGTTGCTTCCACGCTCTTTTGAAGAGCAACCCGGCGACAAAGAACAAAAGAGTGACGTCGGGCCCGAAACGGGGGGAAGCAGTAGTGAAACGATCCAAACAAAGGAAGCAGGAGCAGAAGCAGGAGCTGTAGCTCGGAGGAGGAGCTTGCCGAGGTGTAAATGATGCGTAGTGACGAGGAAATTCGAAGGCCAGTGAGGCCGGTTAATTGGTAGAAGCAAGCCCAGACTGGTGAATATGCCGACCGTAATATGTGAAGGACAAGAAACACCGAGTAGAATCCCGAACAGATGCAGCAGGTTAAATGGGGAAAGAGCAAAAATTTGGCTTGCAAATGCCGTTACACGGGAAATCGGAGCAGCTGAAAGGGACCGGGACGGCGTGTGGCCCCGCGGAGGTAGGTGGGCGGTTGGGCCTTTATGAAGACGGGAAGCCACGACCTGGAACCCAAGCAGGGCCTTTCACGATAGCGTCGAGCTCGCAGAGGACAAAGTCCATAAGCAGGGCACACCAGGCCAACAGGCCGGTGTGCTAGACGCCGCCATGCACCTGGAGGGTCTAGACCAACCAAACCACTGCGCCGCAGTGCATCGCAATCTGCTCTTGGCGCCCAGTCCAGGGCAGGCTGTCTGTCGTGTATCGGATCTGTACTGTGGTGACCACCTCTTGGAACAATGTGATGATGCCCTGACTTGCTTCCAGCCGACCGTTGGTGGGATCTGGGACCGGTATGCTACCGTTGGGCAAACAGCGAGGCCGTTCATGGAGTGGACCACGCTAGGAAATGGCCATGGCCGATGAAGGTGAGGATGAGAGAGTTGCGCGCTGAGGGCCTGAGACAAGCTGTGAGCAGCACGTTGCATGCACGTCGGTAGGTGCCGGACAGATCGAACCAACTTGGCAGCCCTGTCCTTTCCCTTCTTTCTCTTGCGGGGTGCTAAAAAGGGAGGGGGAAGTCGTAGCGACACAGAGAAGCTCGTATTTCGAAAGTCGGACACCGTTCCGGACCAACGACCCATCATACGAGCTACCCAAACCGACGCCGTTTGACTGCTGCGAGATACTCATCATGTTCAGAAAAGCCGCGGTTCATGCATTCTTCAGCTGCTCCATGTTTCAACGGCTCTTCAACACCACATGCTGAGCCTGAACCAAGACGCCACCTGCGCAAAAGGCCCGTATGCGTCTCCAGCTCATCACGGCCGTTGAGCTAGAATAGGGCATGTCCATCACCGAGAGATGTAATAAAATTGCAACCCCTGAGAACTTATATCTTCGCTGCATCAATGCGTACCCAGAGCGGCGGAACCGTTGGCTGGAGCGATCGAGACCAGCCCGTAAAAAGCTTGACGACACGTTGGGCCGGCTACCGCCCGGGGAGGAGAAAAGGAAAGCTTGACCCCTTCATGCATACGGTACACTTCAGGGACGGTCAACCCGGCCTGCTGTTGGGTTACACGGGCGGTCCAAAAGACGGGATCCTGGTCCTGTGCCTGAAAAAGTTGCAATGCTTAATCTTTGGGATCAATGGAATTACGAAAGCGGTAGCTGCTTTTGGTGGTATGTTATTGACAATGCTCCATCCTGAATCCAACACCACTGTAGCTGACGCGTCGAAAGAGTCGCTTCTACTGAATAATCCAGAGGACCCATATTTATATGAGCATATGCATACGTACATTAAGTCAGAAAATACGACGAGGGCCTCCGATGATGAATGGGCGCAGTAGACGAGCTCTTTCCATGGAGTTTGATGCACTCGAGACGAAAGATTGGTGGTGGGACCTGCATTTGGTGACAAGCGTGCCCCGTGGGGGCCCCACATATCAAGAACTGGCCCAAGCTCTTAGCGTGGGTGATGCCAAGCACGGCGATTGCCTACCACACGCGCCAGTGCCAATGGCTTGTCAATGCGGCTTTGCTGCTGGCAAACACATCAGATTCCTTCCCTACATGTCTAGCATCCGCCGTGGCATTCATCGACAATATCATTGTGCATATGGGAGAGCAGTGACTCCACCCCATGGCCCCTCCATCGGGCCTCCATCAGTCGGCCATTCCCTCCGACTTTGAGAAGCCCTTCCCGGCGCTGGTGCGCTCCTCGACTGTCCCCGCAAGCCTCAGGTCGCACCGCGCCGACCCATCCCACCTGGCTCCCGAGGACGCCTACACGCCCATATCACCGCCCAGACAGGCTGGAATCTTTGATACCGGCCCCGAAACGCGCCCACGACACATCAGACGCAATGACGCGAGCAGGAGCAGGAGCAGAAGGCGGAAGCGTTTCCAGAAGCTCCTATGGGTGAAGCAATCATGTGCGCCGCATACCAGACTATGATCTCTGGTTGCTCCCAAGCTTACACGAGTCCATTGCAGATCCCGATAACTATACCGATCAAGCGACCTTCCTCGAGAACCTCCAACGCAACCCAAGGGTGCAGCCATATGACTTCTGGCCCCTGGTGGCCGATTCGACAGTCATCTTGCAACATGTCTGCTCCGTGATAATATTCATCGTTTGCTTCGTGGGCATCTTCCAGGAGCGAGTGAGCCCTGTATCAGTAGTAGGATGGGGAAGCTTTGCTACCTTTCTCGGCTGGCTATTATGGGACTGGTGGATGGCCCAGGAAGACCAAACCAGTGCTGGTGAAGGCGGCGACATGACAAGGAGCATGCGGGATGGACGAATTTACAGAGAATACCGACCTCCGCGGCGACAAGACTCTACATCTGGACCGAGTCTTCATCAACCCCTCCCAAGCAACATCAGCACGGCTAGCATCTCCAGCACCTCGAACCTTCCATCAGCAGCCAGCTCAACCACCAATCTCCTTCAATACCACCAGCGGCCAAACCCAACCCCCCACCAGCATCATGACAACACCTCGCAAAACTCAGCAGCACCAAAGCTCCTGACTCCGGGGCACTCCCACTCGCGATCTGTCTCCTCAGTTCACTCTGTAACCTCCCAAAATAGCGCCAATTCCCCCACAAGTACTAGAGGCCCGAACCACGACTCCGATCCTGACTCCCTCCCCAACACGCGCGCCTACCTCCGCGTATCAACCATCAAATCTGCCATCCTCATCTACTTCACATTATTAGGCCTCTCCCCCATCCTCAAATCCCTCACCCGGTCCACTTCCTCCGATTCCATCTGGGCCATGTCCTTCTGGCTCCTAGCAATCAACATCTTCTTCTTTGACTACTCCGGCGGCACTCCCTCCCACATCTCCGGCCCTCACAAGACCAAGAAAATGCCTGTCGCTTCCCTTTCCACCAACGCCGCTCTCATGGCCTCCACCGTCCTCGCATCCCGTTTGCCGTCAACCGGCCAGGTCTTTTCCCTCACGCTCTTCAGCATCGAGGTCTTTGGCCTCTTCCCAGTGTTCAGGTCATACGCTAGGCACAGAAGCTGGCGGTATCATGTCCTCTTGACTGTTCTGTTGGTCCTGGGAGCTGGGGGCGGAGTAGGGATCATATTGGGGGAGCCATCAGCAACCTCTTGGCCGTGGAAGAGAGGGTTGGCAGGAATGGTAATAGGATGTCTGATCTCAGCGGTGGCGATTGGAGGGTGTAGTTGGTGGCTGATTGGGATGCAGAAGTACAAGAACGAGATTTATGGGCCGTGGGATCCGGCGAGGCCGATTATCATCAGTCGGAGGCATTGGGATGACGACTAGATGGAAGTAGATGCAGCTATTTTAGTGTTTGATCGATAAGTGAAAGATCCTGAATAGAGACAGAAAACAGGGTTGGTTCTGATAATCCATGAATGTCAGAAATTTTGGATGACTACCCTTTGATACTGTCATTGCTCAAAATTAAGATGAAGGCATGATTGTGATGTATATGCAGTAAAACCTCACGATCCAGCACTATGAGAGCTTCACACCCAAAAGAACAAAATGATATCGATGACAAAACATTGGGGCCGAGCCAGGGCTCGAACCTGGGACCACTTGCAACAATGCACTTTGTGAGAAGAAATTCCCAAAGCAAGTATGCTACCACTACACCACACGGCCATCAAACTACCTATGGAGTTCTTAATTGTGAAATGTGGTGTCAGCTTATTGGGTTATATGTGGGGAGCTGAGTGAGATGAGGTGGAGAGGAGTCAGGTTGTTTCGCCGATAAGACTGTTGGACGGCATGTGAGCCAGGAGGCGGAGAGTATATATTGAGGCACAGTTGTATGAAATATTAGGCGATAAGACAGAAAGATGTGGCTGGTTGTAGCTGGGCCTAATTGTACAACTACGACTGAGCAATTGAACTTTGAACTTCGACCTCCAGGTGCCAGATAGTGCCCCACTTTTCACTCTTTACTGCAGCAAAATCCCTTCTCATATCGAGACAACACGTCAACAAAACATGTGAATATGAACACGTGCCAGCCATTTTGAGCTGATCTTTCTGTTGAGGCTGAGAAGCTCACTTCACCATCTAGGACGTATGTCACACGTCAGTGCCAAACACCCGCTCTAAGAGATGCAAATTGATGTTCCAATTTCATAATTACCTGGTTCAACCCACTGTTTGTGTGATTGGATGTGAGCATTTATCCAAACAATAACCTCACATAGAATACAGCTTGTCACGGGTTAGGGTTAAGTCCCTCTTTGATCCGAATCTCGGCACTTTTATCAACACTATCACTCACCCAGCCGATTGATTGCCCCTCGCCACCACCCCTCACAGATTAACTCCGGGCTAAACTCCGCCGGAACGGGCTCCTTCGATCAAGCAATCCGATTTGTTGCCAGTGTGTCCGACGTCACTACCAGTGCGGGAAGGGTGGGCGGTCACTGAGAACTGCTGGAGCTTGTAGCGGGTGAATGTCCATGTGCCCTGAGAGCCATTGTGGTTCTCATTCAAAGAAAACGCTTTTTTACCCTTCTTACATTGTGGTGCGCTTTTGATATCTCAACCTATTCTGTGACGTGTAAATTGTTTTGGTCAAGAGCGATCTGTTGCAGCGCATTTTGAAGCGGGACTTGTACCCCCTCTGATGTAGCTGATTATCAATCGAACTGAACCACCCAGCGCCCGCTGCTGTCTCATTTCACAACACTTTTCTGCTCTAACAACACAAGGACTCTCACCTTATCTTTATAAACCCTTTTCTTCGGTGATTCCCAGTCACTATGAGTCACGACAACTACCGCGGCGACCCCAACGATGGAGGACCGCTAGATTCCGACGATTGGACCGCCCAGATCCCAGAGTCGGTGTATGATGCTATCCGTGAGGAAGAGGGGGAGGAGGTGGAGGATGACCAAGGTTATTATGATGAACTGCTACGGGAGGAGCTGGAAGAGCATGTGCGGATTCATGGGTCCTCGAATGTGGAGGGGCTTGAGCTGGAGGTTATGGTTGAGCAGATCCCTGTTAGAAATGAGGATGAGGATGCGGATGATGATGATCCGGCGACGGCTGAGGAGGAGGAGGGGAGCCAGTTGCTGAGGAGGATTGTGAGGATTGTTGGGAATGGTAAATCCCTTATGAAGAGATGTTGTGATGGGATTTAGCTGATGATTTGCCTCTAGGTGCTTCAGGGGTTGGGCTAAACCATCGACAGATCCTTGCTTTGCTGAGAGGGCAAGATCTTACTGACTTGATTTTTGATGATGCTGAGATTGATGAGATGATGTATCAGCGGAGAAGCAATAGACAAGACCCGGATAGGTTTCCGAAGGTACCGAGTGAAGAGGGCAGGAAGCTGATGGAGTCGGGGGCGTTCGGGTCGTTCGATATCCGTGATCGGAGGCATAAGGATATATCGAGAAGGATTTTGGATCGTGAGTTGGGTTTGGGTGGCAGGGCTGAGCAGCTGAGGAACCGCGGAATGATGCTGCAACAGATGCTGCCGTCATCCAAGCCGGAGATGATCATCCACTACGAAGATCCTGTTTGCTGCGGCCAGTTCTCCGACGATGGCAACTTCTTCTATACCTGCAACAAGGACTTCAAGGTGCGGCTGTACGATACGTCGAATATCTACGACTGGAAGTACTACAAGACGTTCGACTACCCCTTTGGTCAGTGGACTATGACCGATGCTGACCTCAGCCCTGATAACCGCTGGCTGGCGTTTACCTCCTTGCAGCCCGAAGTCGCGATTGCTCCCACCGACCCGAAGGATACTGGCGATTCATATACGCTAAATTTTGCCAGGGGGCATAGTCATCCTGGGTACAGTGGAAGCTTCGCCATCTTCTCCGTCAGGTTCTCTGGAGACGGTCGTCGGCTTGTGGCAGGAACAAACACCGACTCGGTTGTAGTGTACGACATCGAAACCCGCACCACACTACATCACGTTCATGGTCACACCGACGATGTAAATGCCGTTTGCTTTGCCGACAAGATGTCGCCCCATATTCTCTACTCTGGCTCAGATGACTGGTAAGCTTTCTTCTTTCCTGTACAAGTCCCAAATTAGGTAGCTGACACTCTTGTCCCCGATTCCTAGCACAATCAAAGTTTGGGATACCCGCTCCATCGGCGACGGCCGCCCAGCTGGCGCCTTCGTTGGACACACCGAAGGGCTCACCTACATCGACAGCAAGCAGGACGGCCGGTATATTCTTTCTAATGGCAAAGACCAGTCGATGAAACTATGGGACCTGCGCAAAGCCATGTCCACCTCTACTTTCCAGGCAACGAATCCAACAGCCATCACTCAATCTCCGGATTACCAGTTCGACTACCGATGGCAAGAATATGACGATTCACGATGGTACCAACACCCCCACGACAACTCTGTCGTGACCTTTCGCGGACACAAGGTTCAACGAACACTCATCAGATGCCACTTCTCACCACCTAACAGCACAGACAGTCGTTATGTGTATTCTGGAAGTGCAGATGGACATGTATACATCTGGAACATGGATGCTACGCTTGCGAAAACAATTGATGTTCAAAAGGCCACGGAGTCGGCTACTGGGGGGGGCGCCAGACTGAGGACGAGGCGGTACAGGTTGCATAGCTTTGAAAATGAGTGGAGTACTATCGTGAGGGATGTGGGATGGCATCCGAATGCGCCGGTGCTGGTGGCGAGTTCGTGGAATGGGTCGGCGAATGATACGGGGACGGCGAGCGTTCATGGGTTTAATGAGATGGAGGGGGATGATGGGGAGGAGAGTGAGGATGAAGGCATGGCGATGGGGAGAGTGGTGGATGAGAAGTTGAATGTTCCGCAGGTGGCTGTTGGGGGCTGGAGGCAGAGGTATCTGTAAGGGGATCGATGGCTGCTTTCGGCGTTGCATGGATGGGTTGGGGGGTTCAAATTGACATGATGTATATGATGGTTATGAGGCTGTTTTCTTGTCGGTCTAAGATATAGGATGAGATGATGATTTTCGGCTGTATCTTACTTAGCGTGATGTCTACTTTTCATTGCTATCCATCCGTTCGGTGCAACTGGCCAGGCAGCGTCTCAGTCCTGGATTGGGCCTTGCATAACGGTTTTAAAGGGAAGGAGCCAGCTTTGGCCGGCCTTTGAGAGCGTGGGGCTGAACAGCGGGGAATTGGACCGAGGCGAAGGATGTAAGGCCCATCCTATTCTTCAACCCCCAAACTTTATGCCATCAAACTGCTGCTCACCCCAGCACCATATCACCTCAATGTTCTATATCCTCTCAAAAGTAGGTACCTTTGTTTGACTTGCCTCTAAAAGTAGGTACCTTTGTCTGCATTACGCCTTACTCTCAACTCTCTAGGTAGAGTAGCCCAGGCTAACGTCGTATTCTACAGATTGATAACGGGTCGCATCGCCGAGAATCTTTCTCTAATCTACCAGGCTGCCTGGAGGCACAGTTGCACTCCGTTCATCACACCAGGCCTATCTTCTTTTACCCGAGCGGTTGTCCAGCCCAAGCGAGAGTCTACCACATCCTACAGGGGTATATATCACGAGGCTGTGCTTGCAAAATGGTAGGCAACATAGACATTGGCACATGCTTGGCTCTCACCAACCCGAGACTACAATAGCCCTAGCCAACCGGATGCATAGAGTTATGCCGGTACCTCGCGGCTCTTGGGTCACATCCTGGTCGCTTAGACGCGATGGTATCGTTGTATTGATGAACATATGTGCAAGGGTCTTGAACAAAGGCATTGGAACGGCCCCCCAACAGCACAACTTGTCGCGATGTTTTCCCCTTCTCTATGGGTATACAAGGGAGTAAGCTTCCGCCACACCTGCCCCGAGTCTCTCATTGTTTTAGGTCTCGTGGAAATCAGCACGTTGGCTCCCGACCGACCATGTTCAGGAACCTCAAAGGACCTTTCAAGGCCCTACGGCCCAAGCCATCGCCATCGAGTGCCAATCGGTCACAACATTCAGATCAAGATCTTGAGAACTCGAAGCCCATAGTTCTCAGAACTCCTTTCTTGGTCCTACTCGGCTTCTAGTACGTTCAAGTTTGGTTAACATTTTTTCCATGTTCAAGGCCCGCTAACGAAAGTTATGTGTCAGCATTGTCGCTCTTATCGTGGCTTTGGAATATGGCTTTAGAACAGTCACAATCGCAGAAGACCGATTCCCCGTCCTTAATGAGTACGGTTACGGAACAGGCTCCGGGTCATATGGCCCCTTTCTAGCACCGCTCCGCAAGGCAAGGGCAGTCGAAGTCTTGCCATCCACAACTTCTGAGCTCTCGTCAGCAGAAACACCACCTGCAGCAGGCACAACCCCTTCGGTCTTCACATCCTTTCAACAAAATACCAGCTCACTACTCTCGCCGGAGCCAACTTTAATGTCGACATCAACTTTAATCTCAGTGTCATCAACGTCGTCGACGACTGGATGGGCCGGCCTGCCAACAGAGCCCATGATGTTTGGTGACCGTATAGGATATCCGGTCATACACGTTCCGTCTAACGCCACTTTGAATGCAACGAGAACTAGCCTGACGGGAATACAGCGCCGAGTGCCAGCCAAAGACAAATATGGGCAAATAGCCGGATACCGAATCAAGATGTCTTTCTGGCATTTGGTGTATTGGAAAAGTAGTCGGCCT